TTTTAATGATTTGGCCGATCAATCAATTAATCGAAAAAATAATCAACCGATTAATCGATTATTAAAATAATCATTAGTTGCAGCCCTAAATCTAACCATTTTATGTCGTTAGTTACATTTAAAATCTAATTCCAGTTCAAACAGAACAACCTATTGTCAACATAATCATAGAGTGTGGTTTATTTTCAACTCTAAATATCTTCAAACTAATGAAATATAAAGTTATTAATTGGGAAAAATCAGTCTGGATAACAGCAGACTGACTGCTCGTAAAATATACGACAGGTCTGGACCACTCGTGAATTTTGTTCGTATCTGAAAAAAATCTTACAATATGAGAAAATTGGTGAACGCCACAAATTCTCCTAAATCACTCGTACGCACAACTTAAGAACAAATCTGTTCGTACAAAGGGTTCTTGCATGAGGCCCACTGTTTTGTCAGCTGACAGCAGCTTCATGATGTGAATCTGCTGATCTACAAAGTCCCAAAGGTGCTGGGTGGGACTGAGAACTGACGACCATGGAAACAGTTGGAGTCCAGTGAATAGACCCTCATCAAACCAGGCAATGTTTTATAATCTCTTATTGTCCGATTCTGGTGAGTCAGTGTGAATTGCAGCCTCAGTTTCCTGGTTTTAGCTGACAGGCGTGCCACTCAGTGTGGTCTTCGGCTGCTGCAGCTCGTCTGTGTTGTTTTAGTTTTTCTGTCATCTCCAACAAGTCTGCTCATTCTCCTCTGACACAACTTTTCACTCAAACAACTGCTGCTCACTGGATAATTCCTCTGTTTTGGATCAAAAAGTCCAGAGATGGTTTTGTGTGAAAACAGATTATCTGTTTCTGAAATACTCAGCCCAACAATCGGCTCAGATTTAAAGTCACTTACTTTCCTTTCATTCTGATGCTTGGTTTAACCTTCAACAAGCTACTGCTCTGTGATTATGGAGGTCCAAAACTGACATAATTAGAAGTAAAATCAGAAATATGATTAAGTGTTCCCTTTATTTTTTTGAGCAGTGTATATAATTTATTGGAACTAAGCTGGAAAAATAAATATGAAGGTCAGTTAAATTATAAAACATGATGTAAAGTTTTTTTTAAATCTAATTGATGCATTTTAAATGTATTATTTATTGGTCCATTTATATATTTCTGCTTTTATTTCTAATTCTGTCAGTTTCGGTCCTCCATATGTGACTGGCTGCCAAGTTCTTTATTTTAGGTGTACCTAATGAAATGGCTAGTGAGTGTATATACTACATGCTGTTCTGTCATGAATTGGAGTGAACAGTGCTTTTTATAACATTTGTGACATTTAATCTTGTTCCAATAAGACGTTTTACAGGCTCAAAAAGTTCTTATTGGATGAGTGATTATAAACTTTGGATTTTATATAAAACAGTCAGGACAAAATGAGCCTGAGAGACTGAAGTAATGTTGTGTAGACAAAGCTGACAATGATGATGGTGAAGTCCAGGTTTTAAAAGACCCCTAAAATCTGAGACCAATGGAATCATGTTTCATATTCCTAAATTTTAAAAAAAATTTCCTCTTAATTCTTCAGGACATTTCGAGTTTTTATTTTTAAATAACATTCCTGGATCTTCAAAAAGAAAAAAAAACTAGTTATCAGACCCCCCCTGGAGAGTGGTCCAGGCTGTAGCTTGAGCTGGATGAAGCAGTCTAAAATGAACAGATATTCTGGGAAGTTTTGGACCAACTGACCGCTAGTTGTCACATGTTCAGTTTTAAACAGTGCTGCAACAAATAAAAAAGGTCAGATTTCCAGATGATAATTTACACTCACAGGTGTTTTACTATTTTACTTGGATGTTATCAATAAACCTATCAGAAGCTTCCAAAGACATGGCATCACGTGTCACAAATTGTTTCAAGGCACCGCAATCTTAGTGTATTTAAACTTTTGCTGACTTTGAAGAAAGTAATAAAAATTACCTTAAAATTTTTCTCTTATTATTCTGGCATTTAGCAAATAGAAAAATGTAATCCTAACTGACCTAAAACAAGAACAATTTATTTTGATTTCATGTCAAACAATGGCTGTGCCCAAAAGGTCRAGGCCGGGTCCTCTGAAGGCCGAATTTGTCGGCCACTTACGTCACAACACTGCGACGGAGGCCGTCCAAAACTTTACTGCTCCTTGTGTGAAGCAGGCTGTTTCCTTCATCTAGTCTATTTTCAGACATTTTGTAAAATAAAATACAAAAAAACACAAGTATATGAAGCATTTCATGGCTTTAACTGATCTATGAGTTTGAACAAATCAATTAAAATAGTTTCAGGAACTCCTTCAGAATAAAGAAACTAACCCAGCTTCATGTGTTTCTTTGATTAGGGCACACATTCGCTGTGGTATTGTTTGGATAAGCTTCTGCAATATCACAAGATTTATTTCCATCCAGTGTTGCATTAATTTTTCACCAACATCTTGCATTGATGATGGTAGAGTCTGACCACTGAGCTAAGACTTCTCCAGCACATCCCAAAAATTCTCAATAGACTCTGTGGAGCCAATCCATGTGTGAAAATGATGTCTCATGCTCCCTGAAMCACTCTTTCACAATTCGAGCCTGATGAATCCTGACATTATCGTCTTGGAATATGGCCGTGCCATCAGGGAAGAAACAACCCATTGATGGAATAACCTGGTCATTCAGTATATTCAGGTAGTCAGCTGACCTCATTTTTGAGCACATACTGTTGCTGAACCTAGACCTGACCAACTGCAGCAACCCCACATCATAGACCTTTGTTAAATCCTGGTGGTGACTTTTATTTTTGGCCAGGCAGTGTATATAACCTATTAGAGTTATTTAGTCATACAAAATGTTCATAAGYTGGCATAAGTTGTCTAAAATGTTATAGTGTGACAGGGCCTTAAGATGTAAGACTGTTAGACTGATGTTTGTGAACCGGAATGATTGGAGGACATGTCCTTTATAGACAGCTGATGACATCTCATCATGCCTGACAGACAGATGCAGGCTCATCCTGACAGCTTGTCTTTATAAAACACACATGCAGGAAAAAATCCTGTCAGCACGCAGCCAGGAGACAGACAGTAATAATATCCCAGACCATTTGTCCAATTAATGGATAAAAAACATCCTCCTCTACATCAGATTATGTACAGACAGATCAAATGTTTGGTTAAACTTACATCAATTCTGTTAAAGACACACATGTCAGTTTTGACCATGAAGAAGATGGACTCTGGTCCTTCATGTCATCAGTCACAGAACTGACTCCTACAAACCAAACAAGTGAAAGCTCGACAAATATTAAACCGAAAATAAGCCTCCCTGTGGCATCAGGCTGCTGAAACACCGTTAAGCTCTTCACTCTTTCCAGGAGTCTCCTAAAGCTGAGGGACCAGACCAAACCAGGTTTAGAAAACCTAGAGTTAAATCCAAACAGACAAGTTGAGGCAGAAGAATTAAACTGAACAAGCCATCCAGTAAACCTTTTAAAGTCCTTCATCATTCTGATCGACTGTCCTTTGCTCCATTTATCCAGGACCCATCACAACATAACACTATTGAAGACAAAGACAGGAAGTGTGAAGTTTGCTTTCCTTTCATTGTGACACCTTAAAAACCTCAGGATCTCTAAGCTGTCCAGTTTTATACCACTGGTCCTTGGTCCTGGTCCCTGATGGCCACTATTCTGACAGTTTTAGATGTTTCTCTGCTTCAAGGCTTCAGACTCCTGTAGAACCTGAACGTATGTTGGCCCATGAGGACCAAGACCGTACAATAAAAACTCAAAGAAAAAATAAAAAAGTATGCACAAAAATGTTCCAGTTTAAAGATTAAGTCATTCTATCAAGATTAAAGTCCTGAGAATAAAGTCAAAATACTGTTTAAATTATGATGTCTATTTTGTTAAAATTGGTTCAAATAGTGAGAATAGAGTTATTTTAAGAAGCCAAGCTAAGATTGGCACAGAGACATCCAGTCACATGTCCTGTTAGCCTTTTACTTCAGAACAGGTTAAATTACACTGCCCGGAAAAAAAATAAAAGAAGCTGCCACCTGGATTTAACTAGTGATATAATGTGGGGTTGCTGCAGTTGGTCATGTCTAGGTTCAGTGACTGGAAATGTAATGTAGGTTTGGTGCTGTAAATATTAACTTGTGATATAAAAACTTTTGATAAGTTACCCATAACCTCTGCAGAATGCAGGAAAACTCACCTTCTGGAAGGACGCAGAGAAGATTTCTACGTATGTTGAGTTCCCGTAGAGCTTTGAGTCTGCCGATGTGACGAGGAAGAGCTGTAATTTCATTACAGCTTATGTCCTGCGAGACAAAACCCATTCAGAAATATTATTCTGTATGATTACATTTTACTAAGTTACAACAAGCAGAACCATTATAACCTCATCTATTTGCAAAATAATGTAGACATTGATACCATCCACCATAACATGCTTTTTTGCATGCATAACATGTATTTGCAAAGCCATGTTTTATAAGACACGAAACCCTTCACTTTCCAAGGTCTCCATAACCTTAGCATCAGAAAATGATTGGATCATGGCAAATTTAAAAACTTTTAGTTTGAATGAAATTGTGATGATGATGCACTTTTAGTACTTGCTGACAAGGGTTTTTAAGATATCGTCTACATTCCTAAAGTGCTCCAATATGCATTCATTACACTTTATGTCAGCTGCAACAAGTGACCGTTTCAGAGCCTGAGCCTAGGCCACAACTCTCTGTCTGGGTCAAGATGCAGCTACATGTTAGAAGGTCATGCCAACTAGCATGATGTTACTGCTATGAGCTTACTGCTATGGGTAGCCCGTTTGCCCAGATTTGTCACAAAAACAGCATTAGGTTAGGTTAGGTTGGATGTTGTCTCGTTATTTGAGCTTCAAACATGTTTAAAAAATGAGATTCTCTCAACAATGTAGTCTTGGCAGCCTTCTTGAAACCATCTCATAAGCTGAACTTTGACATCAGCTCCTGACATGGAAACAGTGAAGGTGGAGATGGCCTTGTTGTACTTGTGGGCGGCTGTAGCAGAGTAGTTAGGGGAGTCATCAACCAGTGGGTTCCCAGTTCGATCCACCATTTCAGACGTCTTAGTCGCTGTGTCCCCACCTCTGTGAGTGTGCCAATGTCCGTACCTTTATTCTGAATAAAACTCCGGTGCATGTAAACACTTTTCATGATCGGATTGTGTCCATGTAAACAGTACATTCGGATTATTTAATCTGAATACATTTCAATCCAATTAAGATACTTTGGCATGTAAACACAGCTAATGTCCAGCTGATGATCGCATCAAAGTCCATGTACTTTATCCTGCTGTGTTCGCTTCAAAAACGGTTTAACTCATTTAGCTTCTCAATTTCTTAACTGGTTTTCTTTGGGACTTGCCCTGCTGTTCGACCCACAGTTATGCAAATCACGTTCTGGAAGCTGGTCAGCTGATCCCAGAAACTCTGTGGGCAGCAGCTTCATATCATCTGTTTTCTGAGCTTTATGGCAACATAAAGGCTATTGTTAAGTGTTGGGTGACCATGTTGTAAATTAATATTAAAAACGAAAAGCTGCAAAAAATATATTTTCAAACTATTTATTGGCAAATTTAGTCTAATAATTGAAAACATGGATGAAATATGAAACAAATAAAATAAAACACATATAAAGCAGAACACAGCTAAATGTATCAAAAGTATGTCTATGTAATATTAGAATTTTCTGAGACAATGAATTTTGGTTTTTCGTTTTTTTTTTTACCCCCAGAAAGAGGTTTTTATTTAATAGAATTTTTGGACCAAAAATATCGCAATATATCGCCTTGTTTACAGTATCAGGATATATCGGGATATATCGTATCGTGACCCCTCTGTCGTGATATGTATCGTTTCGCCAAATTCTTTCCAATACACAGCCCTACCATTTACATCAGAGATTCTTAACCCATGGGCCGTGGCCAGGGCCTCAAAAGAACAAAAGTTTTTAACTTTGGGCCGCAGAGGGCCGTGGGACCGCATTGATTTTAAATAAGGTGCAATACACTTTCTCACCACTAGTAGCAGTAGTGTGCCACTCAGTTGTTTAACAACTTTTTGTAATATGTAGAAGTAAAACCTTAGAGACCTGCCGAATAGAGTAAGCCCTCTGTGGCAAATAGAAAGGGGCGGGGCCGTGCCTGAGGCCCGAGCCATACCATATATGGAAGTAGCTCCATTACACTCCGGAAATGAAGGGGGCGCTATATCCATGATCACTTACAAATGCTTTAACATAGCAATGTACTTTTTCGTCATATTTTTATTTTAAAAACTGATATTGAAAATCGAAAAACGGGTGTTGGTCCTATTTTTATTTTATACTCCAGAAGTAGAAGAACAGTCAATCTTTTTATTTTTTACCTTTTTGTAGTGTTTTAAAAAATATTTTTAATGTATTTTAAAGGAACTTTAAACTTGTCAAAAAGCTGTTGTTACTGTCATCGTTAGTCACTACTATGAACAGCAATGTCTGTTTCTACCATGCAAAAGTTTAAAAACAGTATATGCAGAAATTCTGAAGTTAAATTTAATACATTTTAATACCTTTTTAATACCATCCCAATGTTTTTTAATACCAACACGACTTCATGTTGAAACTGTAGTGGCAACTGCTTCAACCTATTATTAAAGTTACTGGATACATAGTTATTTCTTTGCCTTAATGAAACACTGATCTATATACAATTATTTGTTATTTAACCCTAAATTCAAGTCAAGTGTTTTCATTATGTGTAGGAGGAACAGTGCTATCAGCAACAGGTCATCTGCTCTCGCATGTCCCAGGAACTCAGAACCAAAATACCCTGATGTCACACAACCATCCTCTAAATCAGAGATTCTTAACCTATGGGCCGTGGCCCAATTGTGGGCCGCGATCGCCACCTTGAGGGCCTCAAAAGA